GAAATGAGTCGTCGTTAACACAAAATAATAGGACATTTTAATAAAAATTAATATTTTTCTCTTGAACAGGAACTTACCAGACACTGAGTAACTGCACAGATGAGTAAGCATCACACAAATAAAGCATTTGTTCTCCAAAAGCAAAATATTTCCTGCTGTGCATACCCAACAAGTCAGTCCAAGACGAAACACATGGCCATTGGCTGCTAGAATATTCGCTGCTGGTGTCAGTGGAGAGAAATGGTGTGCCTGTGCGTATGGGAGATGAATGCCACACAATGAGAGTCATCAGTCATTAGTGAACGTTGTAGTTCGTTATTAATAACTAGAGGCCTAGTGCACAAAATTCGTGCAAGAGTAAGCCTTCCTTCTGGCTGCCAGCACCAGCTTCCCTACGGGACCTAGGACCTGGGCTTCCCTCCGCCCCTGGCTTTGTCTGGAACGTCATTTGGAAGGACATCTGGAAGGACGTCTGGTCTAATTAGCATATTGTGCTTATATTATTATAGACTAGAGCATTGATGGCGAACCTATGACACACGTGTCAGAGGTGACACGGGAACTCATTTTTTTGGTTGATTTTTCTTTGTTAAATGGCATTTAAATATCCTATCTAATAAAAGACAAAAAGGGTAATTGACCGTACCTTCGCTACGTTTCCCATTGGCTAATCAGGGCAATGTGCAAATTAACCGCCAACAAAGATGGCAGCCGGCAGCCATGCAGCTGAAGCGAGCAAGAGGCTTGCTTGCTCCAGTGATGGAGGAAGCCAACGTTCCCCGCCTGCTGCGGCCTGGCTCTGAGCTCCAAAAGTAACAATGTTTCAATTATAGAAGCTAAACAAACCCCAGATACCTGCTTTCAGCAGCCCATGGCCTCAGAGCTGGAGCAAGCAGGAGCGGTTCTCAGCTCCAGTGACGGCAACAAAGTTTCAATTATAGAAGGTAAAGAAATCTTAGAATAAAAAGAAAAGAAAAAAAGGAGAGGCTGGGAGCTTCAGTCATCGGCCAGCCTGAAAATAGCCATTAGCCCCTCATCCAGGCTGGCCAGGCACCCAGTGGGGACCCCCACCCTGAAGGGGGTGTGACCAGCTGGCCAGGTACCCAAGCGGGACCCCCACCCTGATCTGGGACATCCTTCCGGGCAAACCAGCCAGCCCCCACCCGTGTACCAGGCCTCTATCCTATATAGTAAAAGGGTAATATGCACACTGACCGTAACAGCAGAAAGACTGGGAATGACTGGTCAATAAGACACACACTGACCACCAGGGGGCAGACGCTCAATGCAGGAGCTGCCCTCTGGTGGTCAGTGTGCTCCCACATGGGGGAGCTCTGCTCAGTCAGAAGCCAGGCTGATGGCTGCCAGCACAGCGGTGGTGGTGGGAGCCTCTCCTGCCTCAGCAGCGCTAAGGATGTCCGACTGCAGCTTAGGTCTGCTCCCCGCTGGCAAGTGGACATCCCCCGAGGGCTGCCGGGCTGCCAGAGGGATGTCTGATTGCCAGCTTAGGCCCAATCCTCCGGGGAGCAGGCCTAAGCCAGCAGGTGGTCATCCCCCGAGGGGTCCCAGACTGCGAGAGGGCACAGGCCGGGCTGAGGGACTCCCCCCGCCACCCCCCCGAGTGCACAAATTTTTGTATACCGGGCCTCTAGTATAAAATAAATATCAAAAATATGTCTTTGTTTTACTATGGTTGCAAATATCAAAAAATTTCTATGTGTGACACGGCACCAGAGTTAAGTTAGGGTTTTTCAAAATGCTGACACACCGAGCTCAAAAGGTTCGCCACCACTGCTCTATCCACTGAGCCACACCAGCCAGGGCTTGTCACCTTTTCTCTTTTTTTTCAAATGAGTTAAATGTTTTTATTTTTTTTAATTCTTTCTTCCTTGATTAAGGTGTTACATATGTGTCCTTATCCCCCCCCCTTTTCCCCCCACCCCCCCTCGTCACCTTTTCTTACGTCTCGTGGATGCTACTTGTACGCCAGGTGTGATTGACACGGGGTTTTCCCCTGCTAGTCACATGACCTTACGGCACGACTGCATAAACATATTCCTCCCTCTTTAACGTGCTTTATTTTCTCTGCTTCCCCCTTCACCTGAAGTGTTGTGTGTCCGTCATTTCTCATTCTGTTTGCATTGCCGACAAGAATTAAATTAACATGACCTGCTCTCCCCCCAGGTCCTGTGGGCTCCCCGGGGCTCTCAGCTGGAGCAGCGATGGACCTTGCGCGGGTGGGTACCCCGTGTCTGCAGCTCTTCCGCTGCCTCTCCTTTTCCCCTGGGTGCCCGGCAGCCCCAGAGAAATCCTAGAGTCAGGTTCGGAAGTCCAGGTCAGAGGTTGAGAGATCCCCATTTTTTAAAAATATATTTTATTGATTTTTTTTTTACAGAGAGGAAGGGAGAGGGATAGAGAGTTAGAAACATCGATGAGAGAGAAACATCGATCAGCTGCCTCCCGCACGCTCCCCACTGGGGATGTGCCCGCAACCAAGGTACATGCCCCTGACCGGAATCGAACCTGGGACCCTTCAGTCCGCAGGCCAACGCTCTATCCACTGAGCCAAACTGGTTAGAGAGAGATTCCCATCTTGGCACCCAGTGGAGGGAGGTGTGAAAGGTCGTAGGTGCGGGGTCCGTGAGTGCACATGCACGGGGGTGAGCCTGGGACGGGGGTGCTGTGGTCTCCGTGGCTGGTGGTCTGAGGTGGTGGCAGCCGCAGCGTTTGGTGCAGAGGAGAAAAGCCATCTGACTCATATCCTCACACAGGGGCCATCACGAAGGCATTGATTGGGCCCTGGCTGGTGTTGCTCAGTGGATAGAGGGTCGCCTGCGAACGGAAAGGTCCCGGATTCGATTTCAGTCAAGGGCACAGGCCCGGGTTGCAGGCTCGATCCCCAGTGTGGGGCGTGCAGGAGGCAGCCAATCCATGATTCTCTCTCGTCATTGATTTTCTATCTCTCTTCCTTCCTCTCTGAAATCAATTTAAAAAATAGTAAAGTTTTTTAAAAAGACAGAAGAAGGCATTGATTGTGGCTGGACTAGGGAGTGGGAGAAAGACTTGGCATTGGATTTTGTAAAGTGAGCGATGGGGAGGGTGACAGAGGTCACCGGTGACGGGAAGGGTGGGAAGGGCCGTCCCCGGAGACGGGGAAGCCAGTGGAAGGGGGACTGCTTTCCAGTGAGAACCTGAGGGATTAGGTGTGGGTCACATTGAGTCTCCCGTGTCCCAGAGACTCCCGAGCACACGTGAGAGTGAACAGACACGAGGATCTAGCACAGCGGTTCTCAACCTGTGGGCCGCGACCCCTTTGGCGGTCGAACGACCCTTTCACAGGGGTCGCCTAAGACCATCCTGCATATTAGATATTTACATGACGATTCATAACAGTAGCAACATGACAGTTATGAAGTAGCAACGAAAATAATTTTATGGTTGGGTCACAACATGAAAAACTGTATCTAAAGAGCCAGAAGTTTGAGAACCACTGATCTAGAAGGAGGGCTTCAGGCTGGAGATGCCCAGGACGTGGCCACCAGCGCGGGACGCTGGGCCTGCTGTGGACGGGCACGCTCAGGTCCTGGCGGTGTTGCCACTGGGGACCAGCGAGGGGACATGGGGGCCGGGTGAGTCCTAAAGGCAGAGGGACGAGTCGTGGTTGGTCCTCAGCAGGACGAGATGGGGAGGGGACAGCCCAGCAGGCGCCCAGGTTCCCGTGGGGAGTGGGGAGTGGAGTGGAGTCCGACAGGTGCTTCTCGGCCTCCCTGAGCCTGAGGCGCTGGCGGGAGGTGTGGTCAGACAGCAGACTAGCTCCCCCAGGTGTGTCACGGGGGCAGACTCCGCATGGGTGTTACCTGGGCAGAGACCGGGTGCTCCCTGAGGGCAGACGGGGATTCATGACTCTGCATGTGGCTCGGGGGGTTGAGGCTGGAGCCAGGCCTGTGAGTGGGATGGGAGGCATTGGAGGGTTAGGTACATGGGAACCCGTGGTGCGTCCTAGAGGCCACGTGCAGCGCGGGGCGTGCGGTGGGGAGATCAGCCGTGGGCCAGGGGTCTGGTGCGCGCACTGGCTGCCCAGGGCCCTGGCACCGGGAGGGTAAGACAGAAGGGACGCCAGGCTGATGTCTGCTGGGTCCGGCACCTGTCGCTCCAGGTGGGGCCCCGAGATGAAGGGTGGAGGATGGATGTGGATGGTGACGGGTCCTGGGGGGAAGGCGCTGCTGACAGACCCCCCGTCTGCCCCCCTTGCAGGGCCCTGTGACCTTCGAGAACGTGGCCGTGTTCTTCTCCCTGGAGGAGTGGGGGCTTCTGGACGAGGCTCAGCGGGTGCTGTACTGCGACGTGATGCTGGAGGTCTGCACACTGGTTGCCTCGCTGGGTAAGGCCCTCACCTCCGCCCCCCTCCCCTTGGTGGGCAGACACATTGATGGGGCTGCCTCCACCCCACCCACACCCGCATTTCTCTGCTTCCAGGTTGGCATAGGACAGAGGATGAAGACGCAGCTTCTGAGCAGAATGTTGCTGAAACATCACAGAGAAACACTCAAAGGGCAGGTCTGTGCACGCAGGAGGCTGACCCTGGGAGACATGTGACCGGGCCTCAGAAGCGGTTCACCCTGACTGACAGCCTGGGGGGAAACTGGAGCAGGAACTGCCTGGGG